ACACATGACAGTTTCAGTTACCTCTATATTTTTGTCTTAATATAATACCTCACATCATAGGTGTACCCAGTTAATTTGTAATGGTGAGGCTGAAGCTCATATCAGAAAAAACAGACCTCCAATCTCTATCCCTCTCACCCTGACAACTGCAACGAGAAAGTCTCACCCTGAGGCCCAAAGCTATGGGCTTCACTAGCCAGAAATCTGGAATGAAGTCCCCCAATGAAGTTCAAGGCAGATAAGCATAATGTTTAAACTGTGCAGGTGAGGAGAGAAGCCAGGCTCTTTAAAAGGGAGGGCCAGCGAAGGGCATGGTCCACTGTGGTCCTGGCTGGCTCGCCTCCACTGGAATGTTATACAGGTTCCCTCACTCATCCTGTCCCCCACTGTCCCCCCCAAACTCTTTCTTCTCCTATATACCCTTTGCTATAGGTGATACCATGGGCTATGCAGATGCCCCAGGCAGAAATGTGGGCATCATCCTAGATTCCTCTCACTCCGTCAGTCGACATTCCATTAGTGTACATTCATTTCATCAAGATCCTGTGAACTTACTCCTTCACATTCTCAATGCCAATTGCCTTGGTCCATATTCCTGTTCCTCCTCAATTACTGAAATTCCTTCCAGCTTTCAGTTGGTTTCCAAATCCAGAATCCCCTGTCTCCTTCTGCCTCTCATTTATCTTCCACGCTGCTGCGAGGGTCCTATTTCTAGTATGCAAATGTAAGCAGATCATTCTGCTGCTGAAATTCCTTCAACAGCTTCTACCAACTTCAGGACACAAAATCCTGTAGGAAGCCTAGCATCTGGCTCTTCCCTCTACAGACCCCTTTCCCATGTGTCCTTAACACTTAAGCTATCAAACCTATTTGACCAAGTTGTCTCAGGCTCTCCCATTTGCTGTTCTCTCTGCCTTTCCCTCACCTCCTATACTTGGCTGACCTCTAATCATACTTGGGGACTCAGCTCCAGGCCTCTCCTCCTCTAGGAACTGTCCTTGACTTCTTGGTACCAACCCTGATCCAGAGCAAGTCTCCAAGACAAGAAGTTTTCACAGCTGTGCACCCACATCATGAATGTTTGTTTCTCGGGTGGTAGTGAATCGCTTGAGGTAGGAATAATCTCTTCTGCCTCTGTCTCCCCAAAAGCTAGTCCAAAGCCTCCTTCAGGGGGTACTCAAAAAAGCCAACTGACTTGAATGAGGACAAAACAAACCTATTAATCCATCTTTCTTTCCTTCTCTCTGATCCCATGTCACATGGACACATCACCCATCAACAGCCCTGTGGTCTTTGGGTAAGTCTTCAGTTGTTGAGTCTCTACATTTCTGAGGACACGCTGCTAATATGAGGGTGAATATGCTTATTCTACCACAAATAGACTTCTCTTCCACATTTTCTCTTCTTTCTAGGAAAATATAGAAATGTCTTCTTTTCCCCTCTTGGCCACCCATGGGCTTTGCAATGAGAGAGAAGAGGTGAGAGAGAAGGTTCCACTCACGTGATGCTGAGGAAAAGGGGGATATTATTGAGTACCGACTCAGAGTCAAGACTTGTTCCCCTGGGAGAAGCCACTGTGACTTCTTTTTTTTTTGTAAAGAACAAGGGCAACTGAATTTAGAAACCACAACCAGCATATTTAGTCCAAACAAGTAAAAGCAGCAGCCTCCGCAGTGAATGCCAAAGGGGGAAGCTTTCTTATTCCCATTCAGGATCTCACTTCTGGCCATTAATCTCCAGATGAGTAGATGATCCCATTCTTCCCGCGGCCTGAGGCATTCCTCTGAGATCCCTGCCCCAAGGGCCAGCCAATCGTGCTTTGGAGCTGACTTAAACCCTCAGGATGGCTATTTACTATAAAAGGAAAAACAAATCCAAGCCGGCAGATGATGCTAATCCTCTGAGAGCAGGAGCTGGTCTACTTGGGAGAGAATTTAGTGAGAATCCCTGGCAGGGAGAGCTGACGTGGTGACGAAAAAAGGGTGAGATCCATGTTTATGAAAAAATGAAAAGAGTAAGAATGCTGGGCCGTGAGCTTTATTTCACACTTTTGACCTGAGAGGCACATTTCTCAGGGACAATTCATAGCCAAATCTGGCTGCTCTGTCTAGATGAAAAGGGAGAAACGGATGAATGCAGTGTTTCAGCAAGGTACGCACAAGCTGTTGGCAAGAACGATGAATTCACACTAAATTAAACTCAATTATGGTGACTTTTTATTCTTTCCCCAAGGTGCGGGGTGAGGGCTGACATGCATCCCCTGGAGATTTGGAACTCCTCCAAATTCTACTATAGCTTCCTTGTTGTTCCCGTAAATGGGGCGTTTAAAATTTAGAAAAACAGCAATTAGCTGATGGCGTCCCGAGGTGGACCAGCGAGCAGCGGGAAAGGGCTGACCCTCCCGCCAAAGGGCCTGGTCACAAGAAAAAAGAGCTGTGAATCCGCGAGGAATTGCTGGCTCTTTTTAAAAGCACTTCATCAGATTTCTTACTATTTCATTTCTCAGAAAAGAGGAATTACATTTGGAAATTTAAACCAGCATCTGCTCTTGGACCTGGGACTCCAATGACACCCTCCTGGGTCAGGCCTGTTCAGGCCGCTTCTCCGGCGCTGTCCCAGGAGGCCATCCCAGCGGTGGCCACCCCCTGAGGACCTGTCCAGGCAGGGCTGGGGGAGGGGCCCTCGGGTTTCACAAACACTGGCCCCCAACTGGGGAATGCTGCTGTTTTCGGGCATGGATATACTTTTCCCTCAAATAGAATCCTTCCTTATCACTCACGTTCCATCCTTCGAATATGTGTTGCCCTTTGGTTTGCTAAGGGCCTTATACTGTAAACCCCAATCCGACTCTTTGGGAGGAGAGCAGCCTAATGGGTCAGCAGGTGGTGGGCACACAGGAAGAGAGTGCCCCAGTCCCCAGTAGCCCTCAGCCCAATAAAGAAAATCTTGGATGTCAGATCTTTTTTTGACGGAAGAAGATCCAAGGAGACAATTCTCATCAATTCTAAAGAAAGGCACTGAAGAAGCATACACAGGCTATGGGATAGGCCTGGAACTCTGGAATATTTTGGCTTTTATTCTAGAACAGGGATAGGACATTGATGCAATTTTTCTTTCATTTATATCTCTTCAAAAACATGCTCGCTCTACTAATTTCTCAGCTCAACATGCCAGCAGGCCATGAGCAAGCACACCTTTGCCTACTCTGAGAGAATGACTAAGGTGTGCGAAGGCTTCCAGAAGAAGAAAAAAGAAAGAAAAAGAAGGGGGAGTAAAGGGAAGAAGGGAAGAAAAGCAAACAACCCCCCCGTACAGAACGGAGGGATCAGCATTCCTCTCGGGGAGAGGTCTGCAGCCTGCTGGACGGCCTTCCCCCGGACCTTCCTTGCCCTTCAAGACAAAGGCAAGGCCTTTTCTTCCCACAATCACCAGCTAGGACCACATGTGCGACTGCTTGGAAACATACCCTCATGCCACTTCGCCTGGAAAAGTCTGGTCCAGAGCAGCGGCTGCCTCTGCCCGCCTTGGTCCCTCAGGCACTTCGCTGCCCCAGAGAGCGCTGCCCTGCTGGCTAACCCAAAGCCTGGCCCGGCCTCACCTGTGACCGGTCCCCGGGGGCTCAGCTGCGTGAGCACAAAACCATGTAGCATGAGTTCAGAAATGGATTTTACTATTGTACATCTCTGAAATGATGGCACATTTCCCTGAGAACGGTGTGTGAGAGAGAGGACACCTATCCCCTTCATGCCCAAAGGAGACATCGTAAACACTTTTTCAGGGAGCCTGTAAACACGTTTAAAGACCCATTGGTATCCGTACAGGAAAACATCAGGACACGCCCGCATGCTCTGCACACTCAGCCCAGGGCCCGCCGGGGATGGGATGAGCAGCGCTTCCCTTTCATCCCATTTTTGGTCTGGTGCTCCCTCACAGCTGGCACCTTTCTGGGTAGTTGTGGGTATCTTTCTGTGCCAGGCTTCTGCACAGAGCCTCTTGTGTCAACACGGACCCTTTTCAAGGGAAAGATCAGAAACAGCAAAACCTCAGGACTATGAATGCCAGCAGAGGCAGCGTTCTCAGCGCCTCCCCCGCCCCCGGCCTCCGAGGCCCAGACACACGACTAGTGACTGCGTCTCCCTCCTCAATTGTTATTAGTGTGTCTCTGATGAGCACCTTTCCCCGAGGACTCCCACATCCTTGAATAGCTGGTGTTTAGAAATACAGAACACACGAATCCTCTTTGAACCTATCATGGGTAATTTGGAGGTCTTTATCTCTTGATGAGTCTTTTCAGAGGAGGGTAGGTTTAGCGGGCAATGTAGGAACATTTGTTTATGCTGCACAAAAGGTCTGTATCATCTGTATGCAAACCTGTTATCGGGCTTAAAAAACACTGTCCAATTCCCAATGATATTTCGCTATCCCTTCAACAGAAGCAGAGAAGAGGGTTGAAAGGCTCCTTTGGATATCAAAGGAAAAGGAGAGAGAGAGAGGAAGCACGGCTACAGCTCTGCATTGAGAGAGGTTGGGGGGGGAAAAAAAAGACCCTATGGTTTGTTTTGCTAAATGGTTGAAGGCTCCCTGGCTATGGCAACACTCGGCCAAGAAGGTAGAAGGCTGGAGCGGCTCAGCATCTTTACAGACAGGGCAGGCTGAGCAACGGGCGTGCAAGCAGTAGATCCTACCAGCGTCGGCTGTGACTCATTTGCTTGTCTGCAAGCCACTGCCTTGAGAAGTTGAATTCATTAAAAAGGGCGCTGAACTCTCTCGCTCTGGTCTTGCTTCCCGGGTTTTGGCAAGAAGCCCTGGAAGGTGGATCCGAGCCCTTTCCTCCGTGGTCAACCCAGGACAGAAGCTCTACCTTAGAGGAGCCCAACACACGGGGCTGGGGAGGGCGTGGGCTCCTTCTCTCTGGCCGACTCCCTCTCCTCTTACCCTCTGACTCCGGATAAAGGGGGGGGGGGGGCCCTATCGCGGTTGTTTCTCATTCCGTCACTCACCTTTCATACCACTACCTTCTTCTTGGAATGTGTTACGTGCAGTGGTCTGATCTTCTAAGTGTTCACTCCCACCACTTCCTGAAGAGGCTACACTGCTTTGTGGAGACAGGGGGGCATGATCGGATGGGAGGCACTGGGGTCCTCTAGCTCGCAAGTCCTCATGAGACATCCATCCATGTCCTAGAGGCTGGTTTGGCACACTCGTGGGTGGGGTAAGGGACACAGATCGTTTCAAAGGGCTGTGGTGTGCCTGGCCTGAGAGAACTGGAAAATAAAAATGAAATGAAATAGGTTATTGCCCCCCGTTGAGTCTGGGCCGCAGAAGAACCCACAACACCCCTGAGAGAAGCCGCTAGCTGTCTCACAACTCCGTCAGCGGTCACAGAGGCTGCCGGCTTGGCCGGGCCCTTCCCCTGGGGGTGGATATCAGGGTCCCGCCTGGACCTCTTGGGGGGTTGGGTCTCTCTAGGAAGGCTGCACCTACAGCGCCCACATCTGTTGACCTTAGCCTTTAGGGGCTGGACTCTAGAAATCAGGATTCATAGGAGTCGAGCCATTCATTAGGGCAGACTTGACAGCTTGGCAAAGCGGCCATCTGCCAAGAGTGGCAAAAACACGTGCTGGGCGATTTTTTAAACACACAAAGCTGGCCTTACCCGTGTCGTTAGGGTGGACTTCCCGGCCAGCAGGGACCTCTGTTGGGCTGAACTAGAAGAAGGTGGACTGGTCCTTCACCAGGACTCAGGGGACTATTCCCTTGCAAAGGGGCGCAGGCTTAGCGGGGGCCCCGATGCTAACGCGGACCTCAGGGAGCGGACAGCCCTGTGTGAAAGGGCCGATTCTTTCCCGCGGCTCCACAGGGCGATGCCAAACTTTATATTGAAAACACTTCCAGGTAACAAGGCCTTCATTCAGAAGCCAGCGGGGCGCTCTGGGGAAGCCGGGCACGGTTTCCACCGGCATGTCCAGCCCTTCCGCACCGCGGGCCACATCTGCGGGGGGCCCCCCGTGTTTAATTTCTTTTCCAGAAAACCAGAAAAAAGCAACACGTCTCACATAACTAGCCAAATGAAATTGAGGTCATTGGAGGGAGGGATCTGACCAAAATCAATGCAGAGGGAGCCGGTGTTCCCCTCGGCTGGCTTTTCTGGGCGTGTGAAGCCACGGCTTTACAACAGGAGCCTATTCATAACGCCCGCCCAGGGCCGCCTCCTGACAGGTCCGGCTTGTTTGGACTCTGAAGGGCTGACATGGAACTGAGCCGCACGCGTTTTAAAACACTTTTCGGGGGAACCATGAAGGCCCATCAAGACTCCAGCCTCTCCAGCGAGGTCCTTGCTCTCCTGAGGCCAGACCAGCCGTCGATCTTTCTGTGTTTTTTTTTTGTTTGTTTGTTTATTTTTTTTGGGGGGGCGGGGGTAAGCAGACCCGACATGCCCGTGTAGGAAGTCCTGCTTTTTGTTAGATTGTGCTTGTGGTGGGCCAGTACCCACAGAAAGACCTGGCCCACGCATTGCCTGGGCCCCACGTAAAAAGAGAAACACCAGAGCCAAAAAGGTTTTCAAAAAGTGTGTGTGGGACAGTAGTTTTGTGGGTTGGCTCTCGTGGTCAGCTGACGTGAACCAGGCCCTGAGCGCCCCGGGCTCACACCGCTGTTGTCCAGGTTTCCAACTGGCTTTGTGTGGCCAGAAGGGCAGCCTTGCGTGTGAAAGGGTGGATAGGCAAAAGGGCTAGAAACTTCTTCAGCAACAACAACAACACAAAGGGGGGAGGGGGCTGAGATTAGTATTTTTAATCTGAAAAAAATTCTAATTTGAGTAGAGTCTATCAAAGGCAAGGAATTATCATCTAACTTAAAAATATGCAAAGGGAATATTAGGAAAATTTTTTTTTTTTACCCTGACGGGCTGAAACAGCTTGCATTTCCACTAAATGGACTATGGAAGACACTATTTAAAAGGCTCCCTGGAAAATGCATTGCTACCTGGTTGGATCAGAATTAGCAAGAGAAAAAGGAGGAGAAAAACAAAACAAAACACACAAAACCTCAAGAAAAGAAAAATAAATAAATAAAAAGGAAGCAGCAGCAAAAATGAAGAGAAGCCAATAGGAAGAAAAGCCAGACATCCAGAAAATCCATTTCATGCCTGTCTAAGTATTTATATAAAATTGGGGAGACTTGGTCAGGGCTACCCAAGTGCTGGGATGTTTCAGCGTAGACGCTTTGCTTTCTGCTACCTTTGCAGTCATTTCAGAATATCTGGTGGGTGCTCTGAATGGTGCCAGCCAAGCATGCCCCAAGTGGACATGGTGCTCCTCTTCCCAGCCAGGATGGGAGTGAGCCTGAAACCATAGAAACAGACCTTGCCAAAGAGAGCTATACAGCTGGTAGCTGATGGAACGGCCTGGTTAACAGCAGTAACTGAATCCATAGCCATGGGTAATAACACTGCTAAGATCCTTAGATGCTAAGGACAGCACCACACAAATGTAGCTGAATTTCATTCTTGGATGGAGCCAATTTGCTTCTTCCCATCTAAAGAAAGTTTCCTTAAAGTCCAGGTCACCTCCCTACAGATGGGCATCCTTGGGGAAGGTGTGAATATCCAGGGAATCCACTAGCTACCGAGAATGGAACTAAATGTTTACCTAACTTAATGGGATTTATAGGGATTTATTCGTTGAAATCTACACCCATTTCCTCACACATTCCTGAGCCTGACTGAAGTCACAGGGGATATGGTATGAACTTGGCCTCTGCTTCTAATAAAACATCAATTATACCTCAAGTGCCTGGGCCTTTTCCCAATGACTTTCTACTAAAGGCCCCTCCCTTCCTCCCTGTCTAAACCCTAAAGACTCCCACAGCTGGCACCAAACCCAGAAATGTCTCAGGCAAAATCAGGATCACCCAGCCATAGCAACCAAGCAAACTGTCTCACACTACACTTCTGACCTTCAGAGAGGGATTAGAGCCAGGCTGGACATACACCTCGATCAAAGCAAAGTCGTGCTGGGCAAAGACCCGATTTCTTTAAAGAGAAACGAGGTGAAACAGGCTTGTCTAACCCCTTGGAAGGAGACGGAAGCAGGTAACAGGCGACCTGCCAATAGTGCCACTTTGGGGTGAAGATAGATCTTCAAGTGGAGGCAACAGTGACCTCAAAGCCAATTTTAATGTTGCTTTGTGTGAGGGAGTACTTTGGCATAAAGTGGTAAAGGGAATAACAAATGCTATGGCAGGAAGAGTGCAAGAAAATAGGCCACGTGACTGTGGAATTAAAGAGGTGGCCAGCGGCACAGGATCGACGGTTGGCCCATTGCTTCATTTTATTTTATTTATTTATTTTTTTTTTAGCCAGAAAAAAAACAAAAACACTCATCTGAAGTGGTGACAAATAGAGGGAGAATTGATAATCAGGCAAAAATAAACTCCCTTTCCTATGAGAAAGGAGGAGAGGTAGCAGAGAGACACCTGAGAAGCTTGGCAGCACTGCATCAGTGGCCCCAGGATGACTCCAGCTAGAGGCAGACCTTTTGAATGCTTTTGCTTGCTGACCGCTGTGCAGCAGACAGCAGCTAATGCTTCATTCCCCTGTGAGCTGCCCCAAAATCATGTTCCAAAGATGCAGAATGAAGTACATCTTGGGGGGAAAATCTCAGCATATACTAGTAATGGGCAGGTTCCAGTAGAACTCAGGTCCTAAATTCATATTACATTTGTGACTTCCTAAAGGTGAGAGCGAAGGGACAGTGTGTTTCAGGATGGATTCATCATCCTGAAAATCAGACTAAAAATTACAGGGGAGGCAAGATCGTGCCTCTTTTGCTCTGGAAAAATTGAAGCTAGACTTAATCTTATGTACAGTTTAGATTCAATACTGCTTATATTTTTAGTAACCTCTACAAGAAAGTTCAGGCATGTACACATGTACATGTATATATGTCAGCAGAATACTGTCATTTTGGGGGCACTCATACATTCAAAAGTAAATAATAAACACTGAACAGGTCTAATGTAAATATGAAAAAGCAGCAAAAATAATGTGTGATGCAAGCACAGAGGGTCTTATAATCTGTCAATGAAGTCTGCCATACCATCAGGGCCAGCCAACTCCTTTGACCTCATCAAACCTCATGATTTCTCTTTCATCTCCAAACATCTTCACTGTGACTCCTTGCAATGCTTTTTTAGGGGAAAATGCAACACCTGGCTCTGGGTACTGTTCCTTTAAGTATTTTCTTGATAGCCTGGACATCTATTTATTTCCCATTTCCTTTGACCATCTTTGACTTCTGTCTCAAATTGTAATTAGTGAAATAAGATTTAGGGGAAAACTTTTCAGGATACTTAGTTCTCTTTTAAGAAAATGAGGTATAACTACTTTTTTTTTTTTTTCCCTGCCTTCTAAGGTGACAAATAACAGGGGTTGTAGAAAGAGAAAGGCTTGGGAAACTGATCCAACTCTCATCTTGGCCCACCATCAGGTTAAGTGTTATACATCACTGTCAAAGAGGGACGTGATCCCCATAAGCACACAGTCCAGATTTCTGAAGCTTGATCTTATACCAAACTCTATCATAATAAACTTCAATGGAGATCTTTTAAAGACACATTATACATTTTTCTGCTCTCTTTAAATGTACACATTGAATGCAACTTATGCTTTAAAAATTATTGTTATGTTGAGCAGAGTCATAACTGTGGCTTAGAGTTGGAAGCACCCTGAAAGACAACATAATTCAGTAATTCCCAAGTTGTAAGCTGTGGGCCCCATGGGTTGTCAAAGACCTGAGAGTCCCTATGTGCACCCAGTTTTAGCAGATGAAATACTGTGCTATCAATGGTTTTCACACATATGTAAAGAGTTATTAGAATTTATAAAAAATACATTTAAATGTTGCTGAATTTATACCTCTTTTTGCCATTTTTAAAAATATATTTTTTTTGTTGATTTCAGAAAGGGAGAGGGAGAAAGAGACAGAAACATCAGTGATGAGAGAGAATCACTGATTGGCTGCCTTCTGCATGCCCCACACTGCATGCTCTCATCACAGGATCCAACTGTGACCTCCTGGTTCATAGGCCAATGCTCAACTACTGAGCCATGCCCTGCTCCCAATTGTTTTTGTTGTTAAAAATTGAGTCATAAACTCAATAAGCAAACCGAGATGACTGCTGCTCTCTGTTCTCTCTACTGAGTGAGGCTTCCATAGGCAATACTGATGCCCTCAGGACCTCGTGGGGTTCAAGTCCTCTGTGT